TCTATTGGATTCCGCAATAAAAAATGGGGGTGATTTTGGACCGGAGTTCCCCTTTAACTCGCACTTTATGCATGACCTGATCCACTACGTACGAGTTAACTCGCAAAAAATTCGCGCGATGTATCGCAGTGCATAGACCAGTGTACAAACTTTCGTAACTTCGCCAAACATAAACGCATCGCGACAATCAATACACCGTTGGAAAGATCTTGACCTCATCTTTCCGGGGATAAAAAATTCTTTGCGATAGTATAAGAATTCATTGAGCGGCGACAAGATAAACACGGAAATCACGGCCCAGAGTGAATGCGAATTTTTTGTTCTTTACTTCTTTTTGCTGAAGAGCGTGCCAGGGGATTTCCCTTTGGCAGGGCGCATGCGTGATGGACATCAAACGAAGCGCTTGGATCTGAGCTTTGCAGCGCAGTTTGAATTGTGAAAATCTGTTGAATTTGGGCAAGAAGCCGAACAAGAATGTGAAATTGAGTTGTGCCGTTCCGAGGCACGGTGGAGTAATTTGGAGAGGGCGTGGAAGTGGCCCTGATGTGTCTATGGAGCTGAGAGCTACCAGGATGGATTCGCTTGGTCCTGATCTTTCCAACGAGCCCAGGACGATGAAAATCCATCAAGGTGGAGTGAAATGAGAATACATTTCGTTCGGAGCTGTGAGTGCATACTCCACCAAGAGAGTCAGTGCGCTGGAAAGCCAGTGGATTGGAGAGAAGGGGCTCAGCATGCAAAGGGTTAATGAATGGTGTGGTCGGCCTACCGAGGGCAGGAGCTGTATATGACCAAATGAGTCGGCCTGCGCTGAGCAGGAGCGGTTTGTGACCCATGCGAGTTGGTGGGTCGGCCTGCGTTGAGCAGGAGCGGTTAATGACCCATGCGAGTTTAATAGTTGTGCGCGAGAGGCCAGTTAAGGAGGAGTGTACATGCCGACATGTCCTTAAGGCATCCATCTTCTTCCGGGACAGGGCATCAGCGAAGGTATTGGAAATGCCTGGCAGGTGCGATGCTCGGATTAGGAAATTGTGCATCACACAGATTGAGTACAGGGTGCGGATGAGTGCCATGACTGCAGGAGATCGGCTCGTGCCTGTCTTCAGGCACTCCACGGCAGCTTAGTTGTCGCACTGAAACTCCACACGCAGCCGCAGCCACTCGATCCCCCATGTGGCACAGGCCGCGACAATGGCGAAGAGCTCCTTGTTGGTAATTCTTAGTTCCAGTTGCTGCGAAGACCAGTCACCTCTGAACCAGCGACCATTGATGAAGGCTCCAAATCCAATGGTGCCACTTGCGTCGGTTTGCAACTGGAGGTCATCCACTTCTCTAGCAGGAACAATGACTTTTCGTTCCATGTTGACAGAGTCTGGTGCCACCAGCTCAGGTCGCCCTTGGCTGAGGCTGAGAGGTGCAGCATTCGGTGAGATGACATCTCAGATGTGGCCTTGTCGAGGTCGTACAGGCGGCGTAAGAATGTACGGGCGGCAGGAATTGCTCGGGAAGTGAACGAGAGGTGGCCCAGGAGTGAGGCGAGTTCGCGTTTGAGAACTCAACCCTTGTCGAGGGTGGTAGAGACTAAACGATGTAGGGCCAGAAGCTTGGACTGAGAAAGACGCACTTCCAAGCGATCGGTGTCCAGCTCCAAACCGAGGAAGATGAGGACAGTGGAAGGGCCCTCAACTCTCTCTGTGGAGACAGGTACGTTCAAGAACTGGAACAAGTCCAAGATGATGGCCTTGTGCTTGGCCACCAGGGAGGAGCTTGGTAGGCAGATGCCGGGGAAGTCATCGAGGTAATGCATTACGTCGGGCAAGGAGCCGACATGGACAAGGACCCAGTTGATAGCCGTTGCCAGCCAGTTGAAGATGAATGGTCCGGGAGGAGGTCGTCGAAATCAATAAGCTCGCCGCGTTCAATTCGCCCGCAGAGGTTATCAGGTACAGAGTGTGACGGATGAGCGATGGCCCAATGCATGAACCGAGCTGGAGTTGACAGGCGGCACGACGGCTGCAGCATACTCCAACTGCTCTACTCGCTCCATCAGGGGCTGGAGGACCTGGCCGACGGCCTGAGAAACAGCCAAAGCAAGTACATCAGGGGCCACACTCAAGGCGGCGGCAGAAGAAACTGACGGCGAAATGTTGAAGACAACAAAGGCCTTGGAGGAAGGCCTCAATCGCGCATTACTGCCTGCAGCCGAGGGGAAAGACAGACAATGAACTAGTAGGGTCTTAGAGGGAGCCTGTGCCGGTGAGGCGGGACTAGCAACGCCGGCCTAGGGTCTCGGCGTTAGCGCTATCCAGCACACCATGGACGGGATTACGAAACACATGTAAATAGACAAGTGAGCGGGATGAGCTTATTGTGGATATAATGGGGTGTAACAGCGAGTATGTAGTATGGGGTGTTACAGCGAGTATGTAGTATGGGGTGTAACAGCGAGTATGTAGTATGGGGTGTTACAGCGAGTATGTAGTATGGGGTGTTACAGCGAGTATGTAGTATGGGGTGTTACAGCGAGTATGTAGTATGGGGTGTTACAGCGAGTATGTAGTATGGGGTGTTACAGCGAGTATGGGGTGTTACAGCGAATATGTAGTATGGGGTGTTACAGCGAGTATGTAGTATGGGGTGTTACAGTGAGTATGTAGTATGGGGTGTTACAGCGAGTATGTAGCATGGGGTGTTACAGCGAGTATGTAGTATGGGGTGTTACAGCGAGTATGTAGTATGGGGTGTTACAGCGACTATGTAGTATGGGGTGTTACAGCGAGTATGTAGTAAGGGTGTTACAGCGAGTATGTAGCCCAATACCAGCGGCTTTGTCTTAGGTGCTGATGCACCTTGCCCTTGAACGACTGGAGGGCCGTCAGGCGTGGCAGAGACTACAGCACATTTGGGGGCAAGTTGTTCCACTCGTCAATGATGCTGTGGGGGAAGCAGCTTCGCACGTAATCAGGAGAGGAAGCCGGGAGGACGTTCTGTAGCTGAGACTCTTGGCGCACCGAGTGATCGGATCAAGTTCGAGGACATGTTGGTGGAGAAAGCTGTGGGGGGTGGGAGGGGGGACCAGCAACGTTATTTGTGGTGGCCCTGCCGGACACATCAGATTGTACATATAGCTGAGGGTGGCGACCAATCTCCTTGCTGCCAAACTATGGAGGAGGACATCAGGGCCAAGAATGTGGAGGGCGCGTCTCTGCACTCGATCGAGAAGGCGCAGATGGCATGAAGCGGCTCCCATCCATACCAATGGCGCATACTCTAGGACTGGCCCCACAAAACCTCTGCAGATGGTTCATTTACCAGCACCATCGAATACGCGAGCAGCTTTGCGCAGGAAGCCCAGGCGAGAATTCGCTTTGAGTGCTGTGTTGTGGAGGTGGGTCTTGAAGGAGAGGCCCGAGTCAAATGTGATGCCGAGGAGGTTTACCTCCGATAGCTCAGAAAGTGTGATCTCCAAACGTGAAGTCCGTGATAGGCCACCTGTGCCGCTGATGGGCTATCGTCATGAGCTGTGACTTTGTGGGATCAAACTTGATCCGCCACTTCTTGCCCCAGTCATTGAGCGCATCCAGGGTAGCTTGTAAGCTGTTCTTACTGTATGGGAGCATTTCGGGTGATCCAATACAGGTGTAGACCGTTGTATCATCGGCGAAGGTGGCCAGTGAACCTCCAGGATGTAGGCACTGCTCCGTGAAAGTGGATTGTGAGCAACACAGACTCACGCAGAATCATATCAGGAAAATATTTACCGGTAATTGTTTCCGTCATAAAATACCCATCATCAAAAATGATAATAGCAACAAGGACATCAAGAATGAATTTTGGCATGGGCACCACTGGGAAAGTTTTGATAATGAACAGTGCTGTGGGGAGATAATATTCATACATGCATGAACTATGGAGAGAGAGAAAAGAGGTTGAGGAAACATCAGAAACAAACACAAAACTGGTACAGCAAAAGCATGATACGTGACAACTGTAAAACATTCCACATGCACCAAGCAGAACATGTGCGTGTATTATGTACATCTATGAACTCGGATGGAGGGCCAAGGATTATTTATGCAAAGCAAAAAGGGCCAAGACACTACAAGTTACACTATAATGTCCACTAGCACCACTAGTTACTAAACAATCAGCTCATGCGATAACATTGCACGACACTGATCGACGGCACTGACGTTCTACAACTAACTGGCTAGTAATGTTATCGCATGAGCTGATTGTTTAGTAACTGGTGGTGTTAGTGGGTATTATAGGGTAACTTGTAGTTTCTTGTTCCTTTTTACTTTATATAAATATGTACATGTGCACATAATTGCGGGTGCTGGCAACAGCAGTTTATGGAAGTAGACAAATAATTCACTATCCGAGAGAAGCAAGTACTGGGCCAGTAATTTGTGTCAGGAATGCCTTTACAGGAGGTTCAATCCTGCGTTGGCTTTTATTCTCGGGCCCATGTCCCGAATTTTTATCGCTTTGCGTATCCTCCTCCTCCTGGCCCGATGCGACTCAATTGCAAGGACTCGAACCTCCATAAATGCTGAGTCACCAATTGGCAGTACCTCCCTGCTATGGTGAAGCCAGAAGGGCACACACTTTGGTATTCTCAGACATGGTCTCTTTTGACGCATAACATTTCCTGATTACTAGTAGTAGTACTCTGTTCAGATGCTGAACAAACTGTTAGGTCCCCATATTCTGCACACTGTTTCTTAGTAAATCCTTTCTCTTGCTGGTCTGCACCCAGTACACAAGGGTTGATGAGTTCCAGCATAGCAGATGCTTGTGCACCTGTATTGGTCATAGGCACTCAGGCCTTTTATCTAAATCGTAGCTCTCTCCCTTGCTCACTCTCACTCTCCCTCTCTCTCTCTCTCTTTTGCCGTGATCAATCATGTAGTCGCTTGTCTCTCTGTCCCTTCCCTTGTTGTTTCCCCAAAACAAAATATCTTCAACACTCTCACCTCTCCCTACTCCAGGCTCAAGAAACACCATTGCACAAAGCCTGTGAATACGGCAAGCCGGAGGTTATAGAATTTCTGCTTCGAACGGGTTCAGATCTTCTTGCCTTGTCAAATGTAAGTCACACTTTTAGTTTAATTGGCAGCGTGGAAATAACAATCATAATATGCCGATGAATAGAATCAAGTGCGCACTCGTATCATAAACACTGCAAGCAAACATGTTTTAACTTAAAGGGGAACCCCACGGAAAATGAAACTTTCATATCCTGTAGTCTCAGGTGCTGACTCGAATGGTCTTGGTCCGAAGTCTCTACGGCAAAGCGTTCTTGAGATATTGGCAAAAACGGGGGTCGCGCCGTGACGTCATGCGGCCATTTGGCTATGTCATCCCGGCCTGCCTACGTCATTGTGGCACGGTCTGAATCTAGGTGCACTCTCCGAACAATTTTTTGTACCCAGCAATGAAAGCAGCGATGCTGAGGTCAGTGAAGACCACCATCAACCCACCGCCGCATATGGTTGGGACAGGGAGCCCAGATACTCTGCTAAGGAGCTGCCATCGCGTGTAACAAATGTTGAGGAAGAAGATGCCTCAGCAGCTGCGTGCGACAGAAGAAGACGAATAGCTTGGCCACCAGACCCTCGATTCGTTTGGGACTCCAACTGGTGCGACTGTGGACAAAAGTGTATAGCCATGCCCAGCCCGCGGGAATGATTTTTTCTGGTAGGATGCTGCTGTCGCTGTCGAGAAGACGGCCCAAGGTTTCTTGCGTAGCGGACCACGCAGTTTACGAGATCGTAACCTTGCATTAGGCTGTACCCACCACTGCTCTTCGAAGTTATCTCGACATGCAGAAGCCGCCAATGCCAGTGACAGAAGAGTCTGAAATTAGGTCAGCCTCAATTAGTTTGTCTTGACTTGTCTTGTGAGGATTGCGCATCAATATGATACGATAATTTTTTTTGGAGAAATTTATTGTTGTCAGGTGCACTACAGTAGGCGTCGCACAAGAAAAAATGTACTGGTAGTTATAACAAATTTCATGCATGACACAAACAAATTCTCTTTGCTCCGAGTATGTCCTGACTTGCCTTGTGAGGATTGATGCGCGTAATGTTTTGCGTGCAACTTACTAATTGTTGTCAGGCATGGCACGAAAAACGTTGTACTATAGTGCTAGTAGTTATCACATGTTTTCATGCGTGACTCACACACATTAATTTTGTGTTTCATTATCCCTGGGATTGGTACAAGATCTGCAAAGTATGGTAGTGTTCTGTTGGTGAAGAGAGCACTGCAAACAGTTTATGAGCACGATGCGTGCATTTGATCACACCCGAACCCATACTTTATCGTTTCACGCGATAGGCTTTGTCAATACACCCGTTCTCTAGTACTAGTATACCATGTCATGCAACGTACAAGCGTGGGGTCAAGAAAGCGTACACCAAAATAATGCACAAATTCTGGCAGGAGAGTAAGACATCGGTACTTTCTGATGAAGACATTTCTGTACTAGTAGTTATCGAACGTGTCCTAATCAGAATTCATCCCCCAGATCCCGTTTAATTCAATTTGAAACCAGCAATTATGGGAAATTCTACAAGAACCTCCATCTTTGCACCAGTGGACACTAAATTGTTATGGCGCGCGCACTGAACGTGCAGGTAGGTACAGGTAGCTGTAATTCAGCGCATATGTAGAGTAAATGAGTATTTGACTATAGTATAGTCATTGTCGCGAAATGACTTGTAATTATTCTTTTATTCCTCGCGATATATCACCAGGCAAAGAGAACAAGAGTGGAATTACCATTCAGATTGGCAAGAAGAAGAAGAACCAAAACATTTATCTGTTCAAACTGTTCCTTCTCCAATATCACTCAAAAAAATCTATCCAGAACTAAAACTCATGTGGCAATATTTTCCACGTTCAAGAAATCGGGTAAAATACGTGTTACAACTTACAAGTGAAACCGCAGTGATTCACCGGCACAAATACATGGTGGGCACAGTACAAAAATACAATATTCATGACTTAGACTGACACTCCCAGCAGAAAGGAAAAAAATATGCAAGTAAGAAAGGAACAGCTCATGCAAACACTAGATGCTTAAGCTTGGTGGATAACAGTGTTCATTCAAGCTGTGCAGCAATGCGGTAGCGCGCGATGTCTGCTGCTTGTCGACGAGTCTCGGAGCCGATTCGTGCTGCGGCTTTGTTGGTTGACTTCGGACCACCCTGTGGTTAGACTGGTGGCGGGTCGTCTTGAGTTGGTGTCACCTCTAGTGGGTAACACAGGACTACCGGCCTGGTAAGGGTTCTTTCGTTTTGGAGGCGAAGCTTGACAGACCGAATGCATCCATCTGCACTGGCAATCAATTGTGTCACGGTTCCCAGTTTCCACGTTGCTCTTTTCTTCTTTTCATCCTTGATGGTGACGACTTCTCCAGGTGTTGGCTGTCTTGTTAACGCATTCCTTGTCCGGTGGTGTTGGCGTGATCGCTCCCTCAGGTACGTCAGGTACTCTGATTCCTATATCTGCCAGAACTTGTCAAGCAGGGCTTCCTGCCGTCGTAGCTGGCTTTCAAGATGCGCTGACGTCGACAGTGGTCGGGGATCCTCTTGATCTGGATCAGCTGTTGGCATTGTAGAAGGAGCTTTTACATTCAGGAGATGAACTGGTGTGATGATAGTGCCGAGATCTTCTTCTCCTGCAACATACGTCAGTGGTCGGCTGTTCATGGTGGCTTCTATCTCAGTCAGAAGGGTGATGAGTTTCGCCTTGGTGAGAAGCTGCCGCCCAATGGTCTTCCTCAAGCTCCTCTTGACCAGACCAACCATGCTTTCATAGATACCTCCCATCCACGGCGCATACTCAGTTGTGAACTTCCATTGCACATTGTGGTGCTGGCTAAATGCTGCAACTTGCTGGTCACGGACAATTTTAGCCCAGCGGTTGTTGAGGATGGTGCTGGCAACCTTGAACTGAGGGGCGTTGTCACTCAGGATCTTCGTGGGGCATCCTCTGCGGCTGATGAATCGCCTCAGGCAGTCGAGGAACGTATCAGTGGTCATGTCATCCATCCACTCCAGGTGAATAGTTCTGGTTGAAAGGCATGTAAAGAGGCACACCCACAGCTTGTTGGGCTGGCTGCCTTCTGTTGAGAACAAGGGGGGTCCCAAGATGTACAAGCCTGTGAACTGAAATGACTCAGAGCGCTGCACTCGTTCCTTCGGTAGTTGTGGCATAGCTGGTTTCGAGAAGCTGGGACCTTCGTGCCGGTGACATGTGACACAAGACCTCAGTGCCAATTTCGTGGCGGCTCGGCCTTGGGGAGTCCACATGGTTGTTGTGAGTTGGGCCAGAGTCTGTGCTGTTCCGGGATGATGGGACTGCTGATGAATGTGCTCAATTATGAGTTTGCTCAGATTTGAGCGACGATGTAGCAGTGGAACAGGTGTGTTGTCCAGCGGGTCATGTCTGCTATGGCAGATGAGAAGAACGTCAGCTGCTACTGCAATGCCTAGCTGTCGCACAATCGGCATTGGCGCCTCCCGCTGAACAGCTTGAAATACGTCGTAGGAGTAGCGATGCTGCTCATGGCGCAACAGCAGGTTCAGAATTGCCAAACCTTTTGGCAATGAATTTGAGCACTAAGGATGTGACCCTCAGTGCTTTGTTGAATGTTGAGCTGTGGTCTAAAATGAAGCCAATGACTGTCGGTATGACCCGGTAAAAGGTACTGCGTTGACCGTAGCGAACGAGTGGGTTGCCGACGTCTGTGCTGATTCCGGAGCTGCATCCTCGGAGGTCACTGGAGACGAGGCATCAGGCCTTTGCGGCTCTGCAGTATCGTCCATTGTGTATGTGGGCCAGTGCTTGTCAGGCAGTAGGAGCCAGTCTGGACCATGTCACCATAGGCTGTTGTTGTTCGGGTCGGCTGTGGTGAGTCCACGAGTGGCGAGGTCGGCAGGGTTGTCCTCCGAGGTGACATACCGGAACTGCTGATCAGGGATTTGTTTGATTTGCTTGACATAGTTCTCCACAAAGCGTTGCTGTGGCCTCGAAGACGTGATCCATGCCAAGACGCATTTGGCGTCTAACCAAAGGGTAGTTCGGGTGGTGGCGATTTGCATTTCGTTCTTGACAAATTTGGCAGTCTTTGCTCCAATGACAGCGCCCATCAGTTCCAGCCGTGGGATGATCATGTTGGTGTCCGTGGACTTGGATTTCGGAGCCAGGCGGGATCGACCATACACCAGGTTGGTAGCGATTTTTTTTTTTACTAGAGCAACGTAAACCCATGTGTGAGCCATGAATAAGGGGAGTGGTGGCATGGTCTGGGATGCTCTGCCGACCTTGGGTCTCGGCTTCATCACAACCAGGTGCGCCAATAGCAGAGAGAGAAAGAGAGGGAGAGGGAGAGAGAGACATAAACAGAGAGAGATAGAGATAGAGATAGAGATAGAGGTAGAGATAGAGATAGACATAGATAGAGAGAGAGAGAGAGAGAAAGAGAGAGAGAGAGAGAGAGAGAGAGAGAGATAGAGAGGAGAGATATAGAGGAGAGAGAGAGATGAGAGAGAGAGAGAGAGAGAAGAGAGAAAGAGAGAAAGAGAGATAGAGAGAGAGCGGGGAGGGTTGGGGAGCAAGAGAACTAAATAAGAGAACTAAGTAAAGTATATTAAAAAAATGATAGAGAGAGAGAGAAAGAGAAAGAGAGGGAGGGAGAGAGAGAGCGAGCGGGGAGGGTTGGGGGCAAGAGAGGGGACAGAACTAAATAAAGTATAATTATATAATGCGTAAGGGGTGCACATTCAGATCCAGAGAAAAGAGTAAGCAGGGCACGAGGCGTATGGCAATATGCAGTAGTGTGTGGGCAGATGTGCATACATCTTACAAAGTGTCAGTGGCCCAGTGCCATTGCTGGGCACGGAGGTGCCGGAAGACAGACATCTTGAAACTTTGCAGCCGTTTCCGGTCAGGTGGCTGGCTGAGGACGGCGGGTGGCAGGGCATTCCATACAGGGACAGCACAGGCGGGGAAAGCTCTACGGCAACTTTCCCGGCTATTGACAGGTAGCCCTGTCTCAAGCTGGTAGTTATGCATGTCGAGACGGACGAGAGAGAGATGAGTGGGTTGAACATGGGCTGGTTGGGGGGCTTGAGAGGGAGGCAAGAGCTGACGAAGTGGGTTGGTAGGATTTGAGCACAGTAGCTTGTAAATGTAGGTACGCGCAGCTACCATGCGCCGGATAGACAGGCTTTGCAGCATTGCGCCGGGGCCAATCAAGTGGAGGGCTGAGCGTTGCGTCTGGTCAAGTTGCTGCAAGTGACAATCTGCTGCGCCCATCAAGACCAATGGGCAGTACTCCATTACTGGGCGTACAAACCCACGGTACACTGTAGCTCGGCTGCGAGAATCCAGGAGCGGGGAGGCCTTCCGAAGGAGCCCGAGACGCTGGCGTGCTCTGATGGCGATGGTACGGAGGTGGTTGCAGTGGGAAAGTTGGCTGTACAAGGTTACCCCAAGAAGCTTGAGGTTACTCTCTCCATTCAGGGGGACACCCGCAAACTGTACTGCTGGGAGGTCCCAGGTGGGGCGGTGATGGTCAATAGTCATGGCCTGGGACTTGGCTGGCTCGAACGCAATTCTCCAGCTGGTGCCCCAATTCACGGCTGTGATGCGGTGTGGGCTGGACGACTGCCCACCAACGACAACACTCAGGCGCCTGTCCAGCAGGTAGTCCCCCAACCATGCAAGGAGCATGCCAGATACACCGTACTGCTGGGCTTTGTGGATCACACCTGGGTGGGAGACTCGATCGAACGCTCCAGCAATATCCACAGCAACAACCCGCACAGCTCCGCCCCCTGCAGCCACGGTACTCCAACGATGGTGTAGTATGGTAAGGAGGTCCTGCAATCCCAGGCCGGAGCGGAAGCCGTACTGGTTAGCAGTGAGGATGTGCTGGCGCTCAAGGAATCCCATAAGGCCACGATTGATGATAGCTTCCATGACCTTTGACAGTATTGGCAGCAGGGATATGGGTCGGTAGTTCTTTGTTGCGGACTTCGAACCCTTCTTGTGCACAGGTACAACTGAGGCAAGCTTCCACAGTGACGGTTGCCGGCCTTGGCGGGATGCTTTGCTGAAGAGCTGGGCCACAGGCCTGCACAGTTCCTCACAGCACTGCTTCAACACTCGTCCTGGTACACGATCCGAGCCAATGGCTTTGGACGGGACAATCCTCCTCAGTTCACGGCATACCGTTGGTGGCCTAAAGTGGATGGTACTCAGACAAGCATCAGATCGCGGGCGTACATACGGGAGGTTGCTGGCATCAAGGTCATCACCAAGGCTGCATTTTGCTGAAAAGTAGCGGGCAAAGCTCTCTGCTTTGTCCTTACTGGTGGTTAGCTCCTCGCTGTTTTCCTCCTTGAGGGTAGGGATATCATGGCTACGCCCACACCCACCGGCACGCTTGACAGTGGACCACCATTCACGACTGGATAAACCACCCGCTGCGAGCCTTCGACGGATGGATGCTGCATGGGTATCTTCAGCTCTCTGAAGGCATGCTGAGGCAGTGGCTGTGGCTTGGGTATAAGCCAGTTGGGCTGGTTGACCATTGTGCATGGAGCGTACATAGACGGCTGCAGCATAAGCGTACTGAGATGCGTCAGCAAACACGTGTAGTTCTAACGTCTGGGACTTTGTGATTGGGCCGATGAAGCGTGGGATACACAGAGTGGTCAGTTGTTGTAGCGTTGATTGTAGGTTTGACCATTCAGGAAGCAGCTCAGTGTGGAGGGGTGCGTCCCAGGCATATCCACTATCACATAGGCGTCGTAGGAACTGCTTGCCCTGTAGAGTTGTTGGCGAGCACAGGCCAGAGGGTCGTAGACGCTGGTCACTCGGTGCAAAACCGTGCGCTTGGTAGGTTCACTGATACTCTGAGGTGGGGAGTTGATGGACAGGACATCCTGTGCAGAGTCCCATTTTAAGCCAAGAATACTTGCTGGTGTGCTCAGAAGTTGATCCTTGTCTGGAATCTGTTCCATGACCGATTGGGTTGGATTGCCAGTCATGTAGGTTCATGCTGCACTGTTGGAAGGTAGACTTGGCCTCTTTGTAGAAGGCAAATGCGTCATCTGCAGAATCAACGGTAGTGATCAGGTTGTCAACATACAGGCCATCCTGAATTTTCTGGGCTGTTGGTGTGTCGACATTGGCCAGGCGGTGGCGGATAGTTTCTGCCAGCAGAAACGGACTGGAGACAATGCCGAAAGGCACTCGTTGGAAGCGGTACGTGACAAGGTTGTTCTCGATCACATCTGGCTTGGACATGTGCTTGTACCACAGGAAACGAGTGACATCGCGCTCTGTTGGTTGTAGGTTAATCTGCAGAAATGCTTTCTCCACATCGGCCGACAAAACGACGGGTTTGCGGCAAAGCCGGAGCAAGACACCACCCAAGTCAGGCAACAGGCAATCCTTTACGGGCCTTGGATGAAGCATGGTATACTAGCCGTACCTTTGTGGATTTGGCGGCAGTGAGGACAGGATTGTGTGGTAGGTAGTGCACCTTGCCTTCAGGCTGTAGTGGTGAGAGTTCGATAATGTCCCGTTCCAGTTGTTGTTGGATGACTTTGTTGTACCGTTGCAGTAGCGGTGGGTCTTTGGACAGGCGTTTCGCCAAGGTTGTCATCCGGCCCCGTGCGAGGCCAAAGTTGTCGGGCAACGTATCCTTTGTGAGTTCTGATTTCCAAGGCCATTTGACTGCATAGCGCCCCTGGTCGAACACTGTTGTGTATTGGAAGTGGTCCAGCGCTACATCATCATCATTTGTGAAGGGAGAATCCCACATGCCGATATTCTCGAGTAGCCAGAAGTCCTTGAGACTTTTGACAGTTTGGTCGTCGTGACATAGTTCGATGCCGGAATCTGGCTGCAGACCGCACTGAGGACAGTTGTTGGTCGAGGAGAGGGTTGCACGGACTCGGTGAGATGGCTGGTAGTGAGGAGATAGCCGAAGCGAGATTGGATCAGGTTCAGTCCAGATGGCAACACGGCACAGAAGTAGTCCGCTCCAATAAGAATGTCAATGGAAACCTGCGTATCTTCCGTTGGTACTACGTCGGCCAAGGACCCAGATGACAGTAGTTGCAGGAAAGATATGTCAGCCGATGGAATCGCATTGCGGACAAATGCGTCAGTGACCTTGGGTAGAGTGTGAAGAGACATCTTCACCTGTTGGTTGTTAGCAATGGCAATGCTTGCAGAAACAACTTCTGTCGGTACATCCGTGGGCTTGTTTGCAGCGACAGTTGACAGCCGCATGACTTTGCCATGTTCCACAGGCATGTTGAGAGACTGTGCCACACTCCGTCTGATGAAGGACCGTTGACTACCACTATCGAGAAGGACACGTACTATTGCAACCCCATTGGGTCCGCTCACCGCTGTAGCAGAAGTTTGCAGTAGAGCATTCTTGCCGGAGATGTTGCAGTGGAGTGAGCCGCTGTCCGACTGCGGCTGATGAAGTTGAGTAGCACTTGCCATATGGGTGGCGATATTTGTTGCCGTGCTGTAGGATTGGTAAGGACGATTCTCGGTCATTGTGCCAAACTTAGTAGGGCACAGGGAGCGGTTGTGGCCAAGCCTACCACAGTGGACACACTTGCGGTCTTTCGTGCGTAGACAGTTGTTGGATGCGTGCCCTACGCGGAGGCAACGGAAGCATCTCTTCTCTTCAGCCAGGCGGGCCTTTCTGCTGTCCATTGTTGTATGGCGATCACATTCATCATTCCAGTGTGGCCCTCTGCAATAGCTGCAGGACAGAGGCTTACTAGCACGTTGTGGTAGGCTTTGATGTGCTGCAAGGACCTGGAGTGAGCTGGCTGATGGTCTAGCGTGTTGTCTGGGGTGGTGTGATGATGGCTGGTTGTGTCGATGTTCATGCTGGAAGTCAGCCATTTTGCGGGCTGTAGCATGAACATCGAGATACTTCTTCATAGCAGCACGTAGGTCACTGGTTGACCAGGGTTCACAGGGTTTGTTACGTTGTTCTGCGAGGTTAGTTAGAAATCCCACCGGAAACCTCGCCATCAATTGTTGGACGAGCATCCGCTGAGCATTTACTGTTTCTCCTTGTGCCTCTAGCTGACGAAGCAGTTGTTCCATGTAGTCAATGGTGGCTTTGAGTTCTTCAAACTTGTTCATGGGAACTGCGATGCTCATCAGCTGAGAATACAACTTCGTGACTATGAGGTCCTGGCGACCGAATTTCTCCTTCAGAACAGAAATAGCAACAGGGTAGTTTGTTGACGTAATTGGTATACCGTCTACGGCTCTCGCAGCCTCACCCTCGAGAATGGTTTTCAAATAGGTGAATTTCGCCACGTCCGGTAGCTTGGCGTTGTCATGGACAGTGGATTAAAAGGCTTGCCAGACCTCCGCCCGTTTGAAGATATCACCGTGGAAGTGTTGGAGTTGGAGGGCTGGCAATTTCACGAGGACGTTGTTTTGTGAATTTACTCCTGTGGCAGCTGTGGCTGCTTGTGCGGCGGCGGCGGCCACAGCAGTAATAAAGTCTGCTTGCCTGATTGCTGGTGTCGGTGTATCAGGCGGTGTGGTGGATAACACAGGACTTGCTCCTGGTGTGGTTACGGTTGTGGTGATGGGTACATCTGTGGGTGTTGTCGATTTACTGGTGAAACTGGCAGACAATGGGTGACAAGGTGATGACGTAGGGCTGCTGCAACGCCCACTTGTTTCCTCTGTAGCTGGAGTAGAATTCGCTTGACGATCCGCTGCTACAGTAATTTCTTGTGGGGATTTTTCCAGGGCCTATGATGCCCTGCTGCTCTAACAGACCCACAGCATTGGTAATGGAGCGGCACTCCTGATCGAAATTCTCCTCCCATAGATCAGATGTCCACTGGACGGTCACCTCGTAAGACTGGGTCTCGCGAAGAGCTAGGATCTTGAGCTCCTGCAGATGCCGGTAACGGAGCGGCGCTGTTAGCAGACCCGTAGAAAGGGATGTCAAGCGCCCCAACCGACAGGCTAACGTGCGAACAGTCACCCGTGGCTGCAGCAGAAGCTTGGTGCACTCCTGGCGAAGCTTCCGGATCTTCTTTGGAGGCACACGCATCTCCATGGCACGAAAGCCCAAGAATGAGATGCTCTGGGCAGGAGTCCACACCAACTTCTTGAAGTTGATGAGAAATCCTAGTTGATGTAACAACTGAATTGCCCGGCGCAAGTGCTCCAGTGCTTCCGCCGCCGCCGATGCCATAATCAGCAGGTCCTTCAGATAGATAATCAGGCGCACACCTTGGCTGCGCATAATCGACGTCGGAACCTTCATGAGCTTGGTGAACACCCTTGGCGCGCTGCTCAGGCCGAAAGGCAAGCACTGAAATTGGAACAGCTGACCTGACCATCGAAATCAGAGCAGTCTCTTGAAATCGTGGTGGATTGGCACCACGAAATAAGCATCCTTCAGATCCAGTTTGACCAGCCAGTCGTTGGGCTGAAGGAGATCGGGCAGGAGCTTCAATCCTTCCATCTTGTAGTGCTCGTAGCGAACGAACCCGTTCAACGCCTTCAAATTCTCCACGGGGCGTTCCTTGCCGGATGCTTTCTTTGGAATGGTGAAAATCTGGCTGACGAATTGATGAGGACGTTCCTGCACTCGAGTGACGGCCCCTTTCAGCACCAATCCGTCCACTTTGAGCCGCACAGCAAGCGCTCTGTCCTCCTCCAGAGATAATTCTCTGGGCTCCGTGCTTTGTGCGGGATCGGCCACGAGATCCAGCTTCAGGCCCCGCACCGCATCCAAGACCCACGGGTCTGACGTGATTGCCGACCAGGCTTGCACAAAATGCCTCAAACGCCCAGCGACCGGAATTTGGGGGAGCGGGGGCACGAGCGGAGGGCGTGCCAGCTCGTTGTGGGGTGGAGTTGGATGGCCGCAAAGATGTAGGTTGAGCTGGGAGCGCGAACCATCCACCGGCAGGGTCATTAATGACCCTGACCGCGCCCCCGAAAGGGCTGATTGCCTCCACGCCCTTTTTGAACCGGCAGTGGCGGAAGAATGACCCTCTTGCCTATGATTGTCATGGCGGGGAAATGAACGGTGGCCCCACGACGCCCACCAGCGCTTGCTGGGTAATAAGTATGGCCCCTGAAGTTGGAAGGCCGACTATCCTTGTAAGCGTCAATTCCTTGAGTCCGCTTCTTGTATTGGCTGGTAAAGTCCTCGCCGAACAGCAAGTTCCCAGACGGGGCCATTTCCCGGAGGAGGCTGGATGAGCACTTGTTCGAGAGCTGCCCCGTCAGTCTTTGCAGCCGCATGACCGAGATGCTATTAGCATTATCACCCACAAAAGACACTGCGACCTGCAGGAGCTGCGTGATCTCCTTGGCTGGTCGCCCAGCATCCACTGCGGCCCAAGATGCCGAAACGGGCACAAACGCAGCACACACCCGAGCTTGGACTGCCGCCATGGCTATATCAGTCTTTCGGCCAAAGCCCAGCGACGGGAGGCCGCGTACAAAATTATCCAGGCGAGGACACTGGGCCTCCTTCACCTCCGGAAATGGGCAGAGTTTTTTTCAATTCTGCCTTCTGGTTGGAGATGAGAGACCGCTGGGCATTAGCACGGACGAAAGCCTCAATATCCGCTGGTGGATGCCAAGAGTCCTTTGCACCTAAGCGCGACGGGTCAAAGACCTCATCCTCGTGATCACGGTCAGGTGAGGTGGCCGTTCAACTAGAGGAGAAAACCTCGCACAAAGAGCACGACCCACTACTAGATCCGGAGTCCGTGGATGAGGACCGGGAGCGTCTGCCCTGCGAGCGTCGACGACCAGGAGAGATGGAAACTCTCCGCCTAGCTCCCTCGACCAAGGCCCGGGAGGGGACGACATCGCCGGGTCCCGACCCGGACTCACTCGACGAACGACGATGTCGTCGTTGAGATCGATCCCCAGTCCCGGTTAGCGGGGCCCTATGCGGAAATCCCGTTGAGGGCGCATGTGCGGACTGCCTGCTAGCGGACTGGCCTTTTCGAGTCCCCAATGGTGTTCTTGATGGGAAAATGGCGATCGAGAACGGGAACGACCGTGGCCCAACTCATTGTCGGAAACAAGGACGTGCAAACCTGGGGATTTGTCCCTAGCAAAACGTGCATGGCCATCGTATCCCACAGATTCGTCATCTGAGGCCCGGGGGCTCTCAGTGGCAACCCTGTGTGAATCTACCCTTGAGGGTCTTGGAGGTGGTGTCTGCCGTGTGCCAATTTCTGAGCCGCCGGCAGTGGCGGAAGGACCTGTTGTATATCGCCGGAGTGAGCAGGTGGACCATTTTGTATGCTGCTGGCGGAGGCGGGTGGACCATTTTGTATTCCGCTGGTAGGGCGGAGGGACCGACTTGTATTCCGCTGTTTGGGGCGGAGGGACCATTTTGTATCCCGCCGGTGGGGACGGATGCAGCTTTTAAAGCCAAACGCACCTCAGGGTGAGCCAACAACGAAATAAAATCCGAGGGGGCCATCATCGCGAAAGCTACGCTAGGGGAAACTGAATCACAAAAGGAAAAGACACGTCAAAGTCACAAACAAAGAGAGAGAGAGAAAAAACTTGCAAACCACTCTTTACTTGCAGAGAAAACAAGGCCAATGGAGGCAGGCAGTGGCACAGGGGTTATCCAGGGCAGTGGTTATAATGGTGTTTGGCGTTAAAAAATGCTGGTATTTGTAGTGGGTTTGCAGAGAAAACGAAGGGGTCGCTACAGTGTTACATGAAGCAGAGCCTCTGCAGTGCAACTACACGGGTGCACGTGCTCCACGACAGCTTTTGCGAGTGCACCTGATTGTAGTGTGGACAGAGCGCCGCGTGTACGTCACGTACATTTACGTACGTTGACTGCACGGCACGCCATTTTTATTACCTAGTCTGGACCGACCCTAAGGGCCAAAATGGGAGTAAGGGTCAAAATGGGAGTAAGGGTCAAAATGGTAGTAAGGGTCAAAATGGGAGTAAGGTTCAAAATGGGAGTAAGGGTCAAAATGGGAGTAAGAGTCAAAATGGGAGTGAGGGTCAAATTGGGAGTAAGGGTCAAAATGGGAGTAAGGGTCAAACTGGGAGCAAGGGGCAAAATGTTACGAGTTTTGACAATGATCCACCAATGTAAAGGGAGAAAAAACAGTCAGACAGTGCGACAAGACGCAAAACTGACAGAGGTACTGAGACATTGAACGACCTGACACCTAGCGCCAACAAATCTACGAATTGAAAAACAACAACCTTCTTGTATCACATGGAAGCTTTACGTGCAGAAATGTCAAATGAGGGGAAGATAATGCAACAAAGGTGTGCACGAGGTATATCATTCGGGAGGAAAGAATGTCGAAAGCTACAGAATGATCAGGAGATAGGTAAGACCATTTGACAGATCGGTCTAACTGCAACTCAAAAACGCGAATCAACCAATGACAAATTACATTATTTTCTCTGACCAATACCATACTTGAAGTATGCACTGAATAATTAGTACAATTTTCTGATCACAAGACATAGTTTGGCTCCACTATTATAATGTGTTAATGGGAGTTGTGATAATTCTCAGCATGGGCATTAGAAAAGTCATTACTTTCTTGAATGTTCAAAGTATTCAAAATCAACTGCTTTTCTGGTTTACATAGCTATATGCAATGTTTACTAAGAGGTCTTTCACTTTCTTGTGGTTTTACCATTTTTCATTCTACCAGGGCAACATGACATGCCTGGACTATGCATTAGCAAGGAATTGGTACGACCAACCTATACCTAACTTAAGGGCAATTATCCGCCATCTTGAGAGCAAGTACCCAGAGGAGCAGGAGAAGGTAAGCGCAACTTTAAAAAAAGAAAATACATCAAAATGAATTTCCCATTCGAAAACTTGCGTAACCAATGAGGTAACAATACCACTCTATTCCCTCCATACACTCACACAAAAAGGTCTCCCTGCTGCAAACACCGCTTTTGATTCACCAAAAATTCAGGCATGGCTCAGTACCAGGTTACTGGTTCAAACTAATGATGGGATATGGCCAAACATTACGTGACCCAAAAAAGACGTTCGCAGAAGAAACGTCATGCGTGGGTGTTTGGTATGAGTGCAATCATGCATGAACGGTTGCAATGCAGTTTACTAAGACTGTGGAAAGGGTGCAATAGCTGCAAATATTAATATCAATGAGTACACTTAATTGTCTCCTGTCCAGACGCCTCAGATACTGGCACACCTCTCTACCGAGCACCTTTAGCTTGACCACTATCGCATGCACTGAACAGTTGCTTTGTGAGTGAAAACACGTTTTAATCAATTCATGGTGAAAAGAAGGACAAAATGTTACAAATTATGACTAACTGTCCACCAAAGTAACCAGATCTTATACAGTCAGCGAGTGCGACAAAATGGCACAACACTGATAAGGAGTACTGAGACGTTCGTCGACCTGACATCTAGCTCCAAAACTTCAATTTTCAATTTTTCAATTTAATTGGCTCACCATCCGAGCTAAATTTCATCAATTCACTATTTTTTATCCTGAACATGCGTAATACGTGCCAAAAAACCTGCTTTAAAACTGGTATAATAGATGGTAGACAAGCTGTTCTGATATACGGGCAAATCTGAGATACGGGCAGTCCACAGTCCCAAGGAGCTCGAATAAGATACGTACGAGTTCACATTGAATCGCGCGCTCCAGAAATAATAACTGACTTCTGCTCGACGTGGGACCCGCTGTTCGTTTCTATTACTGAGACATGGCTGCACGGAGCTCAAATTTTCTCTCTCCCAGGATACAACTGTTATCGAAGAGACAGACCTACAACCGAAAACAAAACAAACAGGTCCGAACTTTTGGCGTATGGTGGAGTCGATCCAGCACCAGATCCGACAGCCTCCAAAAGCCAGGCCAGCTTACTGTACGCACTGGTAGCATCCCCTGTGACCCCTGCCAGCTCACTCCAACAGGAAGTCACTGAACACATCCAGCCCAGCAAAAGTGCAGACCTGCACGGACACACTGCCAGTGCCTCCGATGAGCACCAAACTCGTACTCGTAGAACTAGTACAGATATCGATCGAGCCGACGAGAGAGCAGTCTGTGCACTATCAACCAGTATGAGCATGTATTGCCACTCACCAGGCTCACCTCGCACGCCAGCGGAAGACGACAGAAACGACGAGAGCCTACTTGAGGAAGATGGAAATCGCGCCAAACAACTCCTGCAGAAGCTGAATGCAGCAGAGGAAGAATGGAAACTCTACACCAGACGTCGCACACGCAGACGCCACCAGCTAGAGCAGACGCCCCCCAGACGCACAACAGCCATATGCCTCTAAAAACACAAAAAAAACTAAATAAACTAGCTGACCAGATTCCTACAGGAGTCATCATGGACCACGCCTGAACTGGAACCAGCATCAACCACCACCAGTGAAAAAAAAGAAGAAAAACGGAAATGTACAAAAAAGCATCTCCTTTCTTTCCCTCAATGCTCGCAGTCTCTTCCCCAAAATGGATGACCTGTCAGCAATAGTATCGTCAACAACGGCACCTTATGATGTCATTGCTGTCTCTGAAACATGGTGTACCCAGCACGACCCAGACTCCCTGTTTGCCCTCAGTGGTTACACACTACATCGTGCAGACCGTTCAGACCTCCAAGGTGGAGGAGTGAGTCTCTACGTGAACGACCTATACCTCATAAACTCTTTCCTACAACAACCCCAGACAGCTTTGACCTACTATCGCTGAAACTGTCAGCCAACGACCGCACCATTAACGCAACATGTGCCTACCGGCCACCCTGTTGCGACCATCGTCTATTCTGCCAGCACCTTGAGGAACTGATCCGAGCCATACCAGCAACAACGCAAAAGATTATCCTCACTGATTTCAATGCAAAGAACGCTGCTTGGTGCCACTCTGACACGACAGATGCTGTTGGCGAGGATCTAGCAGTGCGGTTCCAAACTTACTCTCTACACCAACATGTCACATTCCCCACTCTTGTGCAGAATGGGCATCTTAAATCCTGCCTAGGTCTCGCCGTCATGGATGTTGACAGCGACTATGTCCTTATCTCTGGTCTCCCGCAGATTGGCAACTCGGACCACCTATCCATCAGGGGTTTAATCAAGCCAGTCGCTGCACCCCCTCGAGCCGTACCACCTCCCAACCATAACACCACCCATTGGAAATGGTCAGACCAAAGCATCAGCAGTTTGAAAGCCGAAATTGAACGCACACAACTGCTACCGGAAGGTGACACCCTGAACACTACCAACATAGACAACCTGTGGCACTCATGGAAGCACAAAGTGCTCACTTGCGCCCGCAAACACTGTGCAGTACCTCACTCCCCGAGGCATGCTAGCCACCCAGCAAAGCCATGGCTGAACCCAGAGCTCACTAACTCCATCAGGGAAAAACACTGGCTCTATCGTGCCTACTTGCGCACCCGGGCGCCCTGCAACTGGACAGCATACACCATCCAACGCAACAAAGTTACTCACCTTCTCCGAATCACTAAGTCTACATATGTCAGTAATGGCACTGGGACGAGCCACTCCACACCAAACCTACACAAACTGATGCGCAGCCTCCAGTCCTCAAAACGACCTACTCTGCCAGACACGTTCTCCCAGGGCCAGACTCTCTCAACCCCCGCTGAAAAACGCTTTCTTCATCTCGCAGAGCCAACAGTCAGTCACAGGGTGTCACGAGGAACTCCCCTCCATTCATTTCCCCATACCCAATACACCTGACCTCACTACACTCGAAACAACAGCCCAAGAGGTCTCAAAGCCACTGTTTAACCTGGACCCGTCAAAGAGCTCGGGCTGTGATGGCATACCAACTCGCCTACTGAAAGAGGTAGCCAGTTCACTTGCGCCATCCCTAGCAACCCTTTAAACATCTCCTTCGAACGTTGCACTATCCCGCAAGAGTGGAGGGACGCAACAGTCACCCGCATCCACAAGAAAGGCAGCAGAACCGAGCCCTCCGACCGATATCGCTGCTCAGCATGACGTCAAAAGTGCAAAAGAGGATAGTTGCTGACCGCATCTCGAAGCACATCCAACCTCACCTCCCCAACGGCCAATCAGGCTTTCCGCCAAACGATGGCATCACCCAGCAGCTATCTCGGGTAATCCATCAGATCACCGAGAAAAGAGACGCTGGGCAAACAGTAATTCCTTGCTTCTTCGACCTATCTAAGGCGTTTTACCGGGTGTGGTACCAAGGACTGCTTGGAAAATTGGCCCACCTCGGACTCGATGGCAAATGCCTCCAGTGGCTTGCCTCTTATCTCACCAACGTGATGACAATGTGTGGAAGTGAAGAGCAGCAGATCAACCTGGCTGAACATTTCAGCGGGGGTCCCCCAAGGTTCTGTCTTGGGGCCACTTTTGTTCACGGCCTACACAGTCGATCTGCCAACCGCCTGCATAAATGCCAACACTGAGTGCAACCAGCTTGCCGACGACACTGCCATCATTGCGATCTCACCGTGCATCTTGCAATAAAATTCAAAAACTGCGCTCAGGCCTTCAGTCACTTTTGCATGAACAGTCGCACAAAAAATTATTGGTGGCGCAAGGAGAAACTTGTCGTTTGGAGTGACAAGTGATCACCGCTGCTTTTCCTTGTCAGAGTCAACACTACACTTTGTTCTGCGGCCTTGGGAGAAGTGTTGGAGTAGAAATTGCTGAGGAGACGTCGCGGAGTAGCATGCTTTCCTGCGCAGGTATGACTTTGGCCGTATTTCAGCATGGTCGAGTGGAAAAATTCAAAAAGGTTTATTTCAAGAAAACCCCAAAAGGAAGATGGGGGACATGTCCTCAGCGCTAGAAGAGGTGTTCTACTATCTGCCGGTGTATAGTTCTGGCCAATTGAGGACGTAGCTGGCTGTTTTGCCAGCGCTTATAAATTGGCTATTTTCAAGACGATCATTTGTGGCGTCAGGGTGTGATGGACCTCGTCTTCTGGGATGCTGGCGTGGCTAAGCGGTACTGCTCCAGGAACTCTTCTAAGGTGAGGCAATGTTGGCTTGATGGAGTTTTGTTCATAGCTTGTTCGTATACGCTGTGGCGTGACTCGTTTCTAGACCCATAAATGATGTGATATTTCGGCCATTTTTGAGGGGTATGCAAATTTCAAGGTTCCCTTCAGAAACTTTTTCAAGGGCTTTGCATAATCGATCCACACCCCAAAGGGAACCTACCTGCAAATTTTGAGCGAAATCGGAGAGATCCACTTGCACACATACTTTGGTATTCTCAGACATGCTCTCTTAAAGGGGAAGTCCGGTGAAAAATTTAAATTTCACAGTCCGTAGAGTTCGGGTCGCTGAGTCGAATGGTCTTTGTCCGAGGAGGCTGCGGCCTATGGTTCGTCAGATACGCCCAATCGAACATGTGCGAATTTGAGCGCGCATCACCCAGATCCAGGTGATGACGTCACAGCGTGCAACCAGGTAGCCATACCAGCTAGTCGTGTACAAAATGGCCATATTCGGAGCGCGTTCGATTGGGGAACCGTTTGTCGCAGCTTCTTCGGACCAAGACCATTCGATTCAGTGTTACAAACGCTACGTACCCTGTGATTTTCAGCTCGGTAAGCCTCGAGGTTACACCGTATTTTAGCCGTTTCCGAGTTGGACTTTTTCCGTCAGCATGCAATGGCCTCTACGGCTCTAGCAATGCGCTGCGTGCATGCTAGCTGTAGTCAGGTAGTGCAGTCAACAAACTCATCACACACGGAACTACTCCAGCACTGCCGTGCTGGGCTAGTAATAGTATCCACAACAAGTAAAGACTCGAGAC